TTTTTTCCTTTTTTTGTCTTTTTTACTGACCGGTAATGGGATTGCAACCCTGAGTGTCGCACCCGTACCGGGGACTGGCAACGGGATCGCAACCCTCGGTGTTGTGCCTGCACCGTGCTCAGCCAGTGAGCGGGAACCGGTCTCCACATGGGATCCGAACCCTCGGCAGGCCCTATAGTATATATTTATAAACTATGAAGCTGCAAGTGGCTGTCCTGGGACTCAGAGATGAGGCAAGACACTGTTGCATTTCATTTACACACAATCTTAGTACTACCTGATTTATTACTACTATTACTATTTTTTTTTTTTGGCAGCTGGCCAGTACAGGGATCAAACTCTGGATGTTGTTACCAGCACCACACACTAACCAAATGAGCTAACAGGCCAGCCCTGATTTATTATTTTGATGAACATAAAAAGTATTTAAGGGCCGGCCTGGTGGCGCACTGCTACAGTGCGCCGCTTGGGAAGTGTGGTGGCGCTCCCACCGAGGGTTCGGATCCCACATACAGACCGGTTCCCGCTCACTGGCTGAGCGAGGTGTGGGAGCAACACTGAGGGTTGCGATCCCGTTGCCGGTCCCAGTCCGGTACGGGCGCGACACTGAGGGTTGCAATGCATTGCCGGACACGAAAAAAAAGACAAAAAGGAAAAAAAAAAAAAGTATTTAAAACTCAAAGACATGCTAAAAAAAGAAATCTCACAAACACTCAGAAGTTTCTGTCTTTTAGGAGCCATAAAAAAGGGGTGGAAGGGTAAGAACAACTAAATCTGGTTTGGAGAACCCAAGAAAACTTCTGAGTTTTTTTTTTTTTTTTTTTGTCTTTTGTCTTTTTCCGTGTCCGGCAACGGATCGCAACCCTCAGTGTTGCCCCCGCACCGGACCGGGGACCGGCAACGGGATCGCAACCCTTGGCGCTGCTCCCGCGCCTCGCTCAGCCAGTGAGCGGGAACCGGTCTGTATGTGGGATCCGAACCCTCGGACGGGAGCGCCGCCGCGCTTCCCGAGCAGCGCACTTATCCAGTGCGCCACCGGGCCGGCCCAAACTTCTGAGTTTTGAAGGACAAGGTGAAGAAGAGGGGAGAGAAATAAAAAAACCTTTGGGTGGAGGCATATGTTTTGGTTACTATAAACTCTTCAGTGGGACTGGAATGGGAGTGGAGGGAGGGAGGATAGTTTAGTATAAAACTATACTAAAATAAAAAGTATATTAAATGTTAAAAAACAAATAGACTCTGAGGATTCTAGCTAGAACAACTGGTATAGTTAGATATACTATGCTGCTCGGGGAAGGAAGCAGCATACAGAGGAAGAAAAAGAACTGGCTATAAAGAACAAAAAAAACCTCTGTCCAAGCCCTTGCCTGCCACTTACTGAATGTACGATATTCACGGGTGTGTGGCTTAATCTTTTGGAGTTTCAGTATCCTCATATGCAAAGGGAGATGCTATCAACCTTGCAGGTTGTGGTAAGAATCGGAGAATGTATATAAAGCACTCATGAACATGTCAGTGTAAGAGATACTTAACGAATAGTAACCTTTTCTTAATATTATTAAAAGAAGAATGATTCTGAGGTAGGATAAATTAAGTGACAGTCATGCTGAGTTTGGGTTGCCCGGGTGAAGAGGTTCACTGGATATAACACTGGTCTGGGCATAAAAAGCACTAAACATAAAAGAAAAAGTTGATAAACTAGACTTCATCAAAGTAAAAAATTCTTGCTCTTCAAAAGACTCCATTAAGAAAATAAACAGGCAAGTCATAGACTGGGAAAACTCCTTGCATTTGCAGATATTTAACAAACAACTTTTATCCAGAATGTATAAAGAATGTTAACAAACCAATAATAAAAAGATAAAATAATCAATTTAAAAAATTTTGAATGGGACTTAAGAAATGAATGAATATTCAAATAAGGGCCAATCTAAGAGAATAAAATAATGGGAGCAAAAACACAGAGTGAAAATATATTCATTTTAGAGATTAAAGAATAGCCCAAAATGGCTAAATGTAAAATCGATCAAGGTGTGTCTTTCAATTAGTGTGTCAAGCAGCCCACTGGATCATATAAATTGTTTTGTATTAATAGAGTCAAATTAAATTCAAGCTAATTACAAACCAATTGTATAAAGCTATTTTTTAGACAAGAGAGAAAAAAAAATTTTTTTTAAAAGACGACCAGTAAGGGGATATTAACCCTTGACTTGGTGTTGTCAGCACCAGGCTCTCCCAAGTGAGCTAACCGGCCATCCCTATATGGGATCCGAACCCATGGCCTTGGTGTTATCAGAACCACACTCTCCCAAGTGAGCCACAGGCCGGCCCCTAAGGATATACTGTGGATTTCAGTGTAATCATGTCAACATGGTATATAAGAAAACTGCTTTATTTTTACTTCTTTTAAATTATCTTAAAATGTGTAAAATACTGAAGTGTTTATGGTTAAAATGACATGATGTCTGAGATTTGCCTTAGAATTCTCCAGCCAAAAAAAAAGGGAAAAAAATTGGGGATGGAGATGGTGGGAAGAAAAAAAGAAAAATTATGGTACAGAGTTGATGGGTGACAGTCCCATAGAGATTTGTTGTACTCTTTTTTTTCTGTGTATATTTGTAATTTTTAATCATGAAATAAAAAAAAATAAAAACCTATCATGGAAAAAAAATGGACAAAAGACTTGAACATATAGTTAACAAAAGAAAAAAAGCAAATGGTCAATAAGCATATGAAAAGGTGCTCAACATCATTAGTCATCAGGGAAATACAAGTTAAAAACCACAATAAGAAACTATTTTACATATGCTACAATGGCTTAAAAAAAAAAAAGCAGGGGCCGGCCCGTGGCTCACTCGGTAGAGTGCGGTGCTAATAACACCAAGGCCACGGGTTCGGATCCCATATAGGGATGGCCGGTTAGCTCACTTGGGAGAGCCTGGTGCTGACAACACCAAGTCAAGGGTTAATATCCCCTTACTGGTCGTCTTTTAAAAAAAATTTTTTTTTCTCTCTTGTCTAAAAAATAGCTTTATACAATTGGTTTGTAATTAGCTTGAATTTAATTTGACTCTATTAATACAAAACAATTTATATGATCCAGTGGGCTGCTTGACACACTAATTGAAAGACACACCTTGATCGATTTTACATTTAGCCATTTTGGGCTATTCTTTAAAAACTACATGCTGGTTAGCAGTCTTCCTCATGATAGATAAAAATGTGGATACAACCCAAATGTCCACCATCAAAAGAATAGATAAACAAATTGTTATAGTCATAAAATTAAATGCCACTCAGCAATAAAAAAAAGAACTATGATATATGCAATTACATGGAGGAATCTCAAAAATGTTGACTGACAGAATAGTGACTGAATGATTCCATTTGTATGAAGTCTAAGAACAAACAAAACTAATCCACACTGACAGAAATCAGAACAGTAGTTGCCTCTGGGAGATGGGGGTGCAAACTAACTGGAAATGGGCATGAGGGTACTTTCTGCAATGATGAAAATGGTCTATATTTGGTTTTGAGTAGTGATTGTAAGAGTATAGTTGTACATCGTCAAAACGCATTTAAATTCTATGTAATTTATACCTCACTGACACTCCTACTACTTCTCTGGAGTTCAGGGAGGGGTTAGGAACTAGAAACTAGGAAGTCAGAGAATGGAGCAGAGGTAACCAGAGTAGCAGGCAACATCTCAGACTAGAGGAAGAATGTAGAATAAAACACAGCCAAAGTGGGACAACGGGTAAAAAACACTTGGGATCAGACAGAAACAGGTGTCCATGACTGAGGAGAAGCTGTCAGAGAGATATGAAGATGGCAGGACCATCTAACACCAAAGGAGAAGAGAGCTCAGAGGAAAAAGTTTGTCAATGGTATGAAAGAATGAGAAAGAAAGAGTCCAGCAAACTTGCCAACTGAGAGGGTGCCTGAGATTCTATTTTCCTTCATGATAAAATATATAAAGGCTGTATTTTCTACACATTTTCTGCTTTAATTAACATTGAGAATCTGCTATTATGTCAGTAGTTTGCCAACCTCTATTAAACACACAATGATCCTATGAGGTGGACATTCTTATTTTCTCAAATTTTTAGATAAGAAGACTAAAATTCAGAGAATTTAAGTAAATTACTTAAGGTCAGCTATACAGATATTAAGTGATAGAACCAGGATACATTGATCCATTCCTTTAAACATTCAACAAAGTATTCATAGAATGTCTACTACGTGTCCCTGGTATGTGCTAGAAGCTGGGATACAACAAAGAATGACTGCTTTGAATGCTGCTGAAAGACTGAGTTTGATGAGAATAGAAAAGTAGTTGCTAGGGCCGAGCCCGTGGTGCACTCGGGAGAGTGTGGCGCTGGGAGCGCAACAGCACTCCCACCGCGGGTTCAGATCCTATATAGGGATGACCGGTGCGCTCACAGCGCTCACTGGCTGAGCGCGGTGCGGCTGGTCTCAAAAAGGACAAATAAATAAATAAATAAATAAATAAAGTAGTTGCTAAATTCGTTCTTTTTTGTGGCTGGATGGTGTTCCATTGTGTATATGTGCCACATTTTTAATCCATTCATCTACTGTTCGACACAGGTTGGTTTCATATCTTGGCTATTGTGAATTACGCTGCAATGAACATGGAAGTGCAAATATCTCTTCAAAAAAAGAAAAAAGAAAAGTAGTTGCTAGATCTAGCAAGGTGGAGGTCACTGATGACATCAACCAAGCACTTAACTGAGTGATGAGAGCCAGTGCAGAACAGGCTGAACTGTAAATGAAGTAGAAACAGTATGTAGACATATTTTTTAAAAAAAGAAATATGGTCATAAAAAAATCTGTAAAATCCCAGCCAGCCACCAAAAAAAAAAAAATCTATAGAAGGGATATATGGTCAATAAAAGGTTTTTAAAAGATGGGAGCAATTGGAGCTTGTTTGTATGCTGATGAGAACAGTTTACTAGAAAGGAAGAGACTGATGGTACAGAAAGGAGAAAAGATGACCAAAAGAGTTTAGGAAGTGAGAGAGGTGTAGTATTCAGACATTTCCATTCTCTAAGTAGAATAATGATCTATACAGGAGCAGAGGTTCTCCAAGGTAGCCTGAGGCAGTGGGAAGACACAAATGCTGAGTCAAGATAAGGGGTCATAGAAAAGTCACCCCAACAGCAAAAGGACATGGTTCTGACAGTGAGAACCTGGACCCTGTTGCTTTGGCCCTTTCCCACACACTCTTAATCCCATCCCCCTTAGGCTTATGGTGATACAAATTTAGAAATGAGACTCACGTCATCCAACAATTTGCTTCCATCTGGATCTATCTTAGAAAGTTCTCGAAATGCTTCATCCCCAACAAAGCAAATTTCATGTCCATCCTATATCAATAAATAGAACAGATATGTGGCAAGTAGATATCTCCAAAAAATTCCCAGGTATAGCCTGTCTCCTTTCTGAGTAATACTTACAGGGTCGGCCAGAATGACTACTTGTACTGTTGCTTTCCCTGGAGTATCCAGACTCACCAGGGGAGTCAGAATCTTCTGGTTCTCCCTTTTCATCAAGTCTTCTAAGTCTGGCAACTTGAGGAAAACAAAAAGGCAAAGTAAACGAGAGGTCACGTCCTACTCCCATGGCCCAATCCTCATCAATCCCACAGGAATATCAGATTACCCAGAAAGAACCAAGGCACCACTTATTTGATTTTATTATCTTATTCACTCTTTTTTTTTTGGCAGCTGGCAGGTAAGGGGAGGGGATCCGAACCCTTGACTTTGATCTTAGCCACTCTTAAAACAACTATTGAACTTGATACCAAAGTCACAATCAGAATAAACCTAAAGAAGGGAAGGCCAAGGTTCTTAGCTGGGTTGAACTAGCTAGTCACAGAGCTTAAATAAAAGATCAGGTATCAAACATTACCTCTTTTTTGGGGCAAGAAAAGGCAATTCTTCCAAAAGCTGCTGCATGATCAACTGCACCCTTGATGCCCTGTAGCTCCAGCTTACACTGAACAAAAATAAGAAAGTGGGTTTATTTTTTGGAAAAGGTTATACATGTGTGTGGTTAAAAAAGAAATCCGAACAGTACTAAAGGAATAAAGTAAAAGTAAACACTAAGTCTCCCTCCTACACTCTCCCTGGAGACAACCAGTCAGCAATTTCCTTCTAGACAAATTGCATGCTTATCTTTTTTTTTTTTAACAAAAATGGTAGCACAATTTACAAATTATTCTGTCCCTTGTTTTTCTCCAGTTAATGTTACTGTATCACTACATAAAGACTTGTTCAGTCTTTTTATTTTATTTATTTATTTTTTTTAAAAGATGACCGGTAAGGGGATCTTAACCCTTGACTTGGTGTTGTCAGCACCACGCTCAGCCAGTAAGCGAACCGGCCATCCCTATATGGGATCCGAACCCGGGGCCTTGGTGCCATCAGCACCGCACTCTCCCGAGTGAGCCACTGGGCCGGCCCTACAGCAAATTTAATTTAAACCTCATTTGGCTTTATTGTGATTCTACAGTCGGGAAACACTTCATACTATAAAATAGAATAAGTGTTCCAATGAACCAAGCAGAGGCGGTGGATCTTAACCCTTGACTTGGTGTTGTCAGCACCACGCTCAGCCAGTAAGCGAACCGGCCATCCCTATATGGGATCCGAACCCGGGGCCTTGGTGTTATCAGCACCGCACTCTCCCGAGTGAGCCACGGGCCGGCCCTTGTTCAGTCTTTTTGATAGATGCATAATAATCTATTCTATAGATGAACCATAAATTATTGAAGTATTCCTCTAATATACAGGACACTGAGGTTCTTATATTTTTCTTTTACAAACAATGGTGCCACCGATAACCTTGTACATACTTCTTTTTGCATATGTATGATAAGTACATCTGTAAAATAATTACTAAGAGTAGAATTGCTGGGTCAAAGTACAATGAATAAATTGCATTCAAATGCTAGGTTATTTTTTTAAAAAATGAAAATATATCATGCATTAAATCCTGTCTACATGTCTTCTGACTAAGCAATTCCACTCTGAAAGAACATATCTCCAAATATAAACAAAGGTAATATCTGGGTGGTGAGGTTATCACTAATTTTTATTTTCTTCTTTCTGTTTATCTGTCTAAATATTGAACTGCTGTAAAGAAACTATGGGAACAATCTTCATGTTAACTAAACTTAAAGTAACAAGTTAGTTATTTCTCTCCAAGATTGTTTACCTGGTTATCAGCATAGCCTAATAAAGCCCTTTGCTTCTCTTCATCTTTTTCATAAATTTTCATTCCTAGTAGATTAGACCAGTAGTTCAAGGACTTCTGAAGATCAGACACTGCTAGAGTTACTTTTAATACAGGATCTGTATGGTAATAAAACAGCAGGAACAGACAGGTCAGTTCAATGGAATATAATTGAAAGACCAAACAGCCTGAAGCATATATAAGAATTTAATTGATGATAAGAAACGGATTTTAAGACACTACAAAAGGCTACATTATTCAATAAATGGCACTAAGATAACTGGCTAATCATTTGGTGGGAAAAAGTTACACCTTTGAACTAAATGGCAAAATATATTCCTGAGGGGTTAAAGGATTAAGTTAAAAGAATGAAACATGAAAACACTAGATACAGGTGATTATTTATGTAATTTTGAGATGGAGGAAGATTTTTCTTTAAACCTGACACCAAAATAAAAAAAGCATAAAGATCCCCAAACCAGCCAGCCATCCCCCCAACCCGCAAAAAAAAAAGAAAGAAAGAAAGAAAGACCATGAAGAAGAAAGGTCTGCTATGGGTTAATTACACAGAATGGAAAACTAGACAACAACAACCAAAAAAAGAATTAGAATCAAAATTAAAGAGTAAACAACAAGGTAGAAAAAAAAATTTTGCAACACATAGGACAAAAAGTCCTTAATATGTCAATCACCTTTAAAAATGAATAGGAAGGAACATCCTAGAAAAATAGGCAAAAGGCACAAAGCAGTAATCCTTAAAAGGAACTGGAATGATCAATGAACATATGAAAAAAGATTCAATCCTACAAATAATGAAAGAAATTAAAATTCAAATATTTTGTTATCTAATTGGCAAGTAATTTTAAAAGTTAGCAGTGCTAACTGTGGAAAATTACAGTCACAGAATACTGGTAGACGGTAAATTAATACATTTCTGGGCAAAAGAAGTATCAAAACCTTCAAAAATGTACATTGCCTTTGAAAGAGCAAATCTACTTTCAGCAATTCAAAAAGTAACTGTGGATATATGAAGGGTTTTCATCACAAAGGCATTCATCACAGTGTTGCTTAGAACAATGAAACACTAGGAACAACATAAATATCCAACAACAGAGAATTGTTTCTCTTCCTAAAATGCAATAACACAATGGAATTCCTACAAAGGGATATAAAGATATATATTTAATTATATACATATATATATATTTTTTGCGGTTGACTGGTAAGGGGATCCAAATCCTTGACCGTGGTGTGGCAACACTGCACTCTAACCAACTGAGCTAACCAGCCATACTTATATATTTTTAAATACTTGTAAAAGATTAGAAAGATATACTCTAAAATGTTAGTGATGATTATATCTGGATATCTAGGTACTTCTTTCTTTTTTTTGGCTCATCTGTTTGTCTAAGAAAATAATCAATTACTTTGTAAAAAGAATAAAAGTTATTATTAAAACACCTAACATTACTGGAAACTTTTTACATTGTAAAGGTACTCTCTGAAGAGCTATTCCATGTCCATATCTGATTACAATAAATTCAATACATTTTCTTTGGTTTTCACTGCCTTAATCCTACTTGCTAGAATAGCAATACAATGACTAAGCAAGGTGTTTCTCACAAGTGCCTCTGTCTGGTGGACTCAGTTTTCTCCACTCATTTCAAAATCAACAAATCCCAGTTGACTCAGAGCCTGAAGGCATGCAGGGGCAGGAATGGTAACATGTGGGTGAAACTACAAAGGAGTAAGTAATACAAAGGAAGGATGGATGCCAGCTGGACTGACAGATCTGACTACATTTGATTACATAAATTAATGCCCCCAAAGTATTACCATTCTAGAGGACAAAAACATCTTAGGATTGTGGAGCTCCCCATTATTTCAAGTACTGAGTAAGACTAGAGAAAAAAATGTACAGTGGGTTCTGTTGCAGGAGTTAGGTTTTTTCTTTTTTCTTTTTTTAAAAGATGACCAGTAATGGGATTTTAACCCCTGACCTGGTGTGTCAGCACCACGCTCTCCCAAGTGAGCCAACCAGCCATCCCCATATACCGATCCGATCCAGTGGCCTTGGTGTTATCAGCATCACACTCTCCCAAGTGAGCCACAGGCCAGCACTGGAGTTAGGTTTTAAAGTCAGTATATACAGGCTGGTCGGTTAGCTCAGTTAGAGTGTGGTGTTAATAACACCAAGGTCAAGGGTTTGGATTCCCTTAACCAGTCAGCTGCCGAAAAGTAAAATAAAAAAAAAAAAAAATAAAGTCAGTATGTAAAGCAACAGTCACCAATCAACAAAAATAACCATTAAAAAAATCCCTTAAGTCAGCAGTGAAATACAGAAATACCAACTCTCAGTAAGCCCCAACACAGCTAGTCTAATCTCCCACACTGGAATGAATTGGTCTTTCTTTTGCTGAGCACCAGATGAAAAACGAGTAGCATTAAACATTATAATCAGACTCAGCCTGAGGCACACCAGCAGAAGAAAGAATTTATATGGCTCCCATCTCAGGTCCACTTACAGGCATATGTTTACTGAGTAAAACGGCAGGTAAAACTGCCCTTGCTATTCACTAGAATTTCCCCCCTTTTTTTCTTTTTTGTTTTGGTCATGCATGTAATTGTATTTGCAGGAACTAAATATACATGATAAGGCTGGCACTACAAAGTTTCACTCCTGTTCTGTGCAGAAGCAGTATGGTGGGCTCCTCACTTCCATTCCATTCCCCACGGAACTATTTCTCTTGCCAGTGATTTGTTCAGGAACGGGCACAGTATAACAAATCTGACCAGGAAGTCTGCTGGAAGATTCTAGGAAAACTTTGTTCTACTCTTTAAAAAGAGCAGTAAGAAGTCGGATTCGCCCTCGCCTACCAGATGTGAATGTGGGAGCATGGAGCCCCGACTGCTACTGGCAGATATTCTACAACCATGAGGGAACTAGTTCTAGGAGGAGTACACCAAGGACAACAACAGAATATAGAAAGAGAAAAATCTGGGTTCTTGATGTCATTGCTGAGTTGTTCAATCAGCTAAACTTCTAAAATTTTTCCTACCTGTTGAATGTCTGCCCTGTGAGCTAAAAAATTTTCTTATTGTTCAAACTAGTTTGAATTGGGTTTTCTGTTAGTTGCACCTGAAAGAATCCTAATGTGATATATTACCAGTACAGCAGAACCAATCTAGATCTTCTGTGGTTATGCACTAAAGTTCTAATATGAGAATATAATTTCTCAGAGAACAGGTAACACTGGCTTGGGAAGGACATCATGCCAACACAGGAAGACTCTACAAGAGAAAGAAATGCCATTCCCTCTCTCCTCTCATCAAACATGCCTTTACACAGAGGCTTTTTACTAGTCCTGGGATAATTACCTGCCTGAGGCAGATTGCGATTCTGCAAATAGAACTTATATCCTCCTGGGGCCTCAGTTTCAAAAACACCATCTGCAACTTCAGTGAGTGGCCACTCCAGCTTCCTGGCATTGCTGACAGCCTGGCTAGAGGCGAGCGTGATACCCTATGACAAACAACATCACCCAAGTAGGTAATAACAACATCTTTTATAGAACAAGTTAATGAGCCAAAACCCATTACCTTTACATCATATTACCTAAGATTTAATTGGCATTCAAAATTTTCTTCCAGTGACTTTAAAGCAGATTTTAAAGATGTTTTCTCCCACAAAGATTCAGACCTTCATGAATTGTAGGACAGAAATTCAAATGCCAGTAAAGCTTGATCCATTTAATACCAAAGATAACTTCTAATTTTAAAGATCTAGCCAGAGAAATCTTGATCTTACCTTGGCCAGCCAGCTACCTATTTAAGATGATTTGTTTATATTTTTGACATTTTTTTTTTCAGCTGGCCAGTTCAGGGATCCTCTACTTTTTTTTTTTTTTTTTTTTTAAAGATGACCGGTAAGGGGATCTTAACCCTTGACTTGGTGTTGTCAGCACCACACTCTCCCAAATGAGCTAACCGGCCATCCCTATACAGGGATCCGAACCCATGGCCTTGGTGTTATCAGCACCACACTCTCCCAAGTGAGCCACGGGCCGGCCCTATATTTCTGCCTTTTAAACAAAAATTTTAAGCAAACTATCAAGGCATTCTTTAAATTCAATTAAAGTATCTAAAAATGTACAGTTATGACTTCTGATAAGGCCAGCCTCATTTTTAGCTTCGATAATAACAGTCTCCTTGCCTCCAGTATTAAAATTAGCAATCCATCATCCAGTCTGCAGCCAAAGTAAACTTTCCAAAACACATCGTATAGTATATTCTTGAGGCAGCATCCAGATCTTAGCTTTCCTCTGCTCAAAATGCTCCAATCGCTCTTCATTTCACTCAGGGATGGCTTATAATGGCCTAAAAGGCCCAACAGTGTCTGATCCATGCCACTTCTGACTCCATCTCTCACTACCTTCCCTTCACTCACTCTATTCCTGCCATACTGGCTTCCTTGCATTTTCTTAAACATGCCAGGCACTGCTTGAGGGCTTTTGCACAGGTGCTTCTCTCTGCCCGGAATGCTCTTCCCCAAGATATCCACATGGCTAACTCCTCACTGACACACACCTTTAACACCCTACTTAAAATTAAAACCAGCCGTCTACCCCAGCCAAAAATCTGCTAGAATAAAATGGTATTTACCATGAAGTCATTGCCAAGTTTGTAGTCTCCAATGCCATAATTGTAAGTTAGCTCTGCAACAAAATGATCATCCTCAGGCCCAAATCCCACCATTGTTTTACTCCATTTCCCATCATATGGCCTAGAAAAATGAAAGCAAATGAACCCAGTGACAACAGACAAAATCTGCCTTAGTCCTCCCCAAAGAATTATTGGGCACAGAGAGGTGGGCAGCCCCTTCCGGTCCTGTAAGTACTCAGAAGATGAGAGGACCTGAGAAGAGCTGTGGACCGTGCTTATGGCCCCCAACTACAAGCTCCAAAGACTTCCTATTTGGCATTTACTTGAGGGAAAGATTTGCTTACCTTTTCTTTAAAGCAGGGACCAAAAACTTAAAGACAGTTCTCCCACATGACCTTAGTTTTTCTTTACATGTCAATTAACAAGCATGCAATGTCCAAAAGACCTTAGAATTTTCTAACTTGTCATGAGATACTTGACAGTCACTGTCTCATCCACAGCAAATATTTGTGTTTGAGGTATAATATGAAATACGTTTGTTTTCCTAAATATATGTGGTCTCCTAAAACTCTTGGAATTTCTTGAGTGACAAGAGTGTCTTTTGTTATTCATAATGAGTCCCTTTCAATTACACCAGAGTTCACAGTAACATGAGGTGACTTAAGGTAGGGCCTCTAGATAGCCTCAGGACAGGGCTGGTCACCCAGGAAAACTGGTAATCAGATGATTTGGAAATTTCAGCCCCACCCATGGACCTCTGGAAAGGCCTGGGTTGGAGATTAGACTCTATTAAACTGTATAATAAACTCTTGAATAAGATTTGATAAATTTCTGGGTTGCTGAGCACTTGGAGGGTGGCGTGCCCAGAAAGGCACCCTCCCTCCATCATACCTTGCTCTATGCATCTCTTCTATGTGGCTGTTCCTGAGTTATTTCTTTTATAATAAATCAGTAAATGTAAGTAAAAGTATTTTCCAAGGGCTGCCTGGTTAGCTCAGTTGGTTAGAGAGTGGTGCTGATAACACCAAGGTCCAGGGATCGATCCCTGTACTGGCCAGCCGCCAAAAACAAAGTGTTTCCCTGAGTTTTGTGAGCCACTGTAGCAAATTATCAAACCTGAGGGGACTGTGGGAACACCTGACTTATAGCTCGTCTGTCAGAAATACCAGAGGCCCAGACTTGTAATTGGCATCTGAAGTGGGGGCAGTCTTTTGGGTCTGGGTCCTTAACTTGTGGGATCTGACACTAACTACAGGTAGATATAGTGTCAGAATTGAATTAAATTGTACAATACCCATCTGGTATTCAGAGTTGGAGAACCACTTGGTGTGTTACAAGTGTTGTATAAGAATGTAGAGAAACAGTATGTTCCCTCAGCGCTCCTGACATTACTTCCCTAGTTATTGCCTCCTTAATTTATTCTACTGCTAAATACTCACTTTAAGAAACTGCTCTCCAGGGGTATTTAAACCATGAAGGAATTTTTTTTTTTTTTTTTCTAAAAAGATGACCGGTAAGGGGATCTCAACCCTTGGCTTGGTGTTGTCAGCACCACGCTCAGCCAGTGAGCAAACCGGCCATCCCTATATAGGATCCGAACCCGTGGCCTTGGTGTTATCAGCACCGCACTCTACCGAGTGAGCCACAGGCCGGCCCCCATGAAGGAAATTTTAAGAAACAAGATATCATACCCATTACAGGCAGCTTTGCAGCCTTCTTCAAATTCCTCATGCCGCAGAATCTGGTAAGGGAATTAGAATATACTGTAAAGTTTTACTGGCACTGCTTACAGCATCTTCAGCACAAAACAAAATGTGATAAAATAAAATAAAACGGATATTATATCATTTGTAAACTTTACTTGCAAAAGAACAAAAGAAAATGAGCTTTGTACCTTTCCTAGGCTAGAAGTAGTAAAGGTGAGGAAGAACAGTTTGACGCCTTGGGTCAGGCTACCAAGCAAGTTGTGAGATATGTTTTGATTGGGAAACAGCGCTGTGCAGTGGGAAAAGTGTGGCCTTCAGATTTAGAGAAGTCTGATTTGGAATTCTGACTGTCACTTAGTAGTTCTATAACTCTAGAGCAAGATGCTTAGGATCTGAGTCTCAGCCTCCTAATATGCTGTGAAAATGAATAACTTACTAAAGCATCTAATACAGAATCTCATATATAATACACTCTCAATGTGTTCGTTTTTATTTTCCTTTTTGATTCCCACTGCTACTGCTCCAGTTCAAGCTCCCTTTACTTCTTTCAAAGACTATTATAAACCGTCTTTATTGATCTCCTTCCTTCATACACCATAAATGTCCCTAAAGCACAGCTCTGATCACATCACTGCCCTGTTAAAAATGTAAGCAAGGTCTCTACTTACTGCAGCATATAATCCAAAATTCCTTAGCATAGCATTTAAGATACTATTAGAAGCAATTTAGTGTAGAGACAGCGCAGAATACATGGAGTACAAAGGGAGTCACCCCTGCTGAACACCTCGCTTAGGTTGTGGTCTGACCTTCACAGAAGTCAGGAGAATGAGGTAACTGCTAATTTCTCAAATAGGCCAGTTTTTATCTTCAATATGTATGATAATAAATTTCCCTCTGCTTTAATCCTTACACAAAAGAGATAGCCTGAAGTAACTTGATATTAACAAGTCAGTTATTTTTCTATCGTTCTGTCTTCCTGTCTGCACCTTAAAGGGAAAGTAACTTTGAAGTGGCCAATCCACTTTTCCTTTGCTTCTGTTTTCGTCAGCCTTTTTCTGTCTATAAAATCAACCTCATCTGCTCAGCTCATTGGAACATTTATTCAATTTTATGGAATAATGTGTAGCTCGATTCTATAATTGAAATAAAACTAATTGAGATCTTTAACTAAATTTGTTGTACTTTTGTTCTTTGACACGACAAATGTGCAAATGATCCTGGTATCTGTTCTCAAATAGAGCCCACAGTCTGGGATGGGGTGGGTGTGGGAATTGGATTTGTACATAGCTAACAGTAATGGAAGTCAGAATTCGATAAGGATAGTAGAAAACTAAAAAGCTCTTCCTTATTGCATTTTCTCATTGATCAAGAGGTTTTTGAGAAGATTAAACACATTATTATATGTGTAATATTTGGCACATCGATTATATATGTGTTATATAAGTGTTAGCTATCACTATAAAAATAAGAGATTTTCCAACTTGGGTCTGCAGGAAATAACTCATGGAGACCTTACATTCAAATTGACTTCTGAAGATAAGTAGGATTTCCACAGATCAAGATTTTAGTGATGAGTTACATTAGAAAAATTGACTAGCCAATACAAAGATAGTGCATGTTTGTGAAACACCACTAGTTTTAGGTGCCTTTAGTTGAGGTTGATTAGGTAAAATTGAGGAGATGGGATAACAGGATGAATAGGACATTTGCACCTTTGTCGCCAAAGCTCAACGTAGGTATTTTTTAAGTGACTGACCAATTAAGATAACTCCCTTGCACTCCACGTATTCTGCACTGTCTCTACACTAAATTGTACTCTTGCACATCTAAAGCCTTCCTTACTAGTGTGTTCCCCACTTGCCTAGCTGATCAGGAGTCTCCCAATAACTTCCACCTGCGTTTTCCAGCCAACCGACCCCTGCACAACTTCTCAGGACTGTGGAGAGACCGCTTCGGGGAGTTGGAGAGGAGAATGGGTTATAACTTCATACTTAGATCTGGACTGTTGAAAGGAGAGTTTACCTAGATTGAGTATATTAGAAAGACCACTCTGACCATCCCAGATAGAAGCAGAACTTTGAACATGCTCGTTATCTAAACCGAAAGGCTGCAAACCGAAAGAAACTGAGTTATTAACTGGAAGAGTATTATATAACTTTTTGTTTGTTTAGTGTCTTTCCCACTAGACTGTAAGCTCCTCAAGGGTAGGAGCTCAATAAGCATTTGCGAATGAACTTAAATGAAAGAACGTGAGTGGGCACATAGCCAGCGACAAGTAAGTGTTATCCCCTTTCAAAGGTCTTTGAACCCAACTAGTTACTTGCGATTCTTCCTGAAGCCGAAAACCTCGCAGAGCCAACGGGGAGTCCGGGGCCTAAAGACGGACACCCTCTGGTTGACGTTCACGACACACCCATTTCTCCCATCCCCCCGCCAGGTGCGGCTTGGCCGCCCGTTCCAGGCTCGCACGCCAGCCCCTGTCGGCCCCGGCCTGCACCTTCATCCCCAGGACATCCCGATAGAAACGCGCCGTCTGGAAGCGGTTTCCCACTTTGAACACGAAGTGGAGAGCTCGGCGACCAGCCATGACTCCCGTCGCCACACAGCAGTCACGCGCACACCGCAGCCCTGCCCACAGAAGACTCAACGGGCCGCTGACGTCACTAGTCGTCGCCGGCGCGCTTTCGTGACGTATCTCCTGGCGCCGGGAAGATGGCGGCGCTGGTGAAAGGTGTGAGAGGTGCTGTGCGACCATTGCTGCCGGTGGCCCAAATCTGGGACCTCGACGCGCGGCGCTGGGTCCGGGCGCTGCGGCGGAGCCCCTTGAAAGTGGTGTTTCCATCTGGACAGATGGTGGAACGGAGGCGCGCTCCTGGGAAGCAGCCCCGCAAGGCGGTGTCTGAGGCCACTCCCCACGAGCCGCGACAGAAACAGCCGCCTCAGATGTCCCCATCCGAGACTCCCGTCACCTGGGAAGAGTCAGGGCTTCGCTACGATAAGGCTTTTTCCGGGGACAGGAGGCTGAGGTGATGTGTTCCTGAGGCTTGTCGAGTATTCCCTTTTCCATTCCCGCCTCACAGCGGGACCTTAACTTCCTCCGCCTGTTGGAGGACTTCTAACGCTAATTTTTTTTACGCAGGAGGGCAGGATAAGTGTCTTCTTTGGAATTTGCTTATTTCTGTCTTTGCGAGTCTCCTTTAAGTCTGTTAGAAATAGGTGTGTCACAGTAACAAGGATATTGGTAGTTACCCGGGTTTTTTTTGTTTCTACCTACAGTAGTGTAATGACAATCGTTAAGTCCAGGCCATTTCGGGAAAAGAAAGGGAAGATCCTGCTGGAAGGTCGCAGGCTGATTGCAGACGCCCTCAAGGCTGGAGCTGTGCCAAAAGTTTTCTTCTTTAGCCGTCTGGAATACATAAAAGAGCTGCCAGTCGATAAGCTGAAAGGTGTCAGCCTCATTAAGGTGAAATTTGAGGATATCAAGGATTGGTCCGACCTAGTAACGCCACAAGGAATAATGGGTCAGTGGTTACACTGTGTCACTAAGTGTAGAGACCTAGGATTACTTGTTCATACTTGTCTTAGGGCAACTGATTTTATTTAAACCAAATTCAAAATGTTACCCCCTAACCTTTTCTTAAGTCACTCAGAAAAATATAGTTCTCAAACCTATGTATCTTGTAGTATTTTCAGTGGAAACTGAAGCCAGTTTTTTGCCATCATTTGTATATAGTCTCTAGGAAGAACCACTACTCTTCTTAGGTCACTTCTTCAACCTTCCATGTCAGACTAAAAATTAAGGAAATGTTTACTAAAAAATTTAGCCCTTTATTAACCAGGTATCATTAACCCCCTTGTTCCAGAAGCAGGTCTAAGGAGTGAGATGTAAGCTGTAATTTATCATCCTGTTTAACCCAATGAACAAAACACCTTGTCTTCTTGGAGTCTGTTTCTTCATTTGGTTGAATCTAATGTAAGGTTTTATGTAACCGTGATGTCTATTAGCACATAAAAAGTCTTTTGCCTAAATAAGGGAGGATAAATTCTTTATACCTTTTTGACATTCGAGTTATATTTAAGATCTGATAACTGAATGGAAATAAACATAGAGGTTTCTCTTGGATAGGAAAAGACAGTTGGAAGAGGGGGAGTTATCTTCAAGGTTCTAACATCTAGGCCAGGGCCTCTGACGCCAGTTGTGCATGTGTGTTCCCTATAGTGAGCTCATATTTTATCTTTGAACTGTGCAGCTGTTAGTTGGGAGAGGAGATTCTGGGGGACCATCTCTTGTCTCTGTAACCTACCAAATCACAAAGGTCTATGCCTCTAAATCCAGAGCTTTTAGACCCTAAGATGGGGACTTGGAGTACTGAAGTACTTGGAGTTACTCATGCTAAATAACCGTACTCTTGTTAGCTATATGAGGGGTCTTTAAAAAGTTTATGAAAAGATTTGTATTGTCTTTTAATTCCATTTATCCACAGACTTTTTGAAGTACCCTGCTACCTTTCTAATCCCTACTGCATGTTTCAGTGAATGTGTCATTCTTTCTTACCATGCTTGTCACTTTGGGCATGTGTGCTAACAGTGGCCAGCCCATCTTGGACTTCTGTACTGTCCTTCATCATTATGACTGCTTTCATCATTTCATGGCTTTTAAAAATAAATATTATTCAGCCTATCCTTATGATGTTATATTTTAGATTTGAGAGTGGGGTAAAGGGAGAAATAGATTAGAACTAACACTACCTGTCAAACTTTAGGCACTCTCTAAAACCCAGTAATGTAAGTGGGGCCTCTAGAGTAGTGGGTTCTCATCACCACAGACTTCAAGTAGAAGTTAAAGTCTCAGGTCTCTTGCCCCACTGAAAAGTCTTGTGGCCGTCTTAAGTCCAGGATCTTTACAGCACACAGATGCCTGATACCATTCCATTGTCACTTTTGGTGGGTTAAGCTTTTTATCTGCATTGTCTTTTGGAAAGAATCCTATATTTTTCATTGTGTTATGTTTCAGTACAAGTACTATTTCATTCATTTTTTTTTTTTTTAAGATGACCAGTAAGGGGATCTTAACCCTTGCCTTGGTGTTGTCAGCACCACACTCTCCCAAGTGAGCTAACCAGCCATCCCTATATATAGGAATCAGAACCCACGGCCTTCGTGTTATCAGCACTGCACTCTCCCAAGTGAGCTACGGGCCAGCCCCTATTCATTCATTTCCTAACCAGACAGTAGCCTATTTATTGCAGCAATTGTATACAAGAAAATGCTAGTAAGATTTTAAAAACTATAATCCTTGGGAGCATGCCACAAAAGGAATTGAGTCTTTATTTGTTGTTAGTATATATAAAGAACTTAGAACAGTGCCTGACCTAAAAAAAAAAATGTTAGTTATCATCAGTATCACCTCTACTGGTAAACACTATAATTCAAAAGGAGGGCTAGCTGGTTAACTCAGTTGGTTGCAGCACAACCTTGAAACACCAAGGTCAAGGGTTCAGATTGCTGTACTGGCCAGCTGCCTAAATAAATAAATAGATAAAATAAATCAAAAAGAAACTTGTGGGGCCGGCCCGGTGGTGCACTGCTACAGTGCGCCGCTTGGGAGCGCGGCAGCGCTCCTGCCGAGGGTTTGGATCCCACATACAGACCGGTTCCGCTCACTGGCTGAGCGAGGTGCGGGCGCGATGCCGAGGGTTGCGATCCCGTTGCCGGTCCCGGTCCGGTACGGGCGCGACACTGAGGGTTGCGATCCGTTGCCGGACACGAAAAAAGACAAAAAGGAAAAAAAAAAAAAGAAACTTGTGGATATATGGTGCATCCATGAGAATAACTTCATCTACACCATAGAAATTTCATATGCTCTAAATAGTCACTTTTATTTTAATGTTGTAATTAGCCTTTTTTCAGTTTTTCCCCTTTTTCCTAAATACTTTCCATAAAACTTTGGCAGCTGGAGAGTAGAATCTAGAAGTTATTAAATAAGGAGAGAATTTTTCACTAAGGAGGCCACTCAGGGTTATCATTTTTTCAGGTACCCCCAAACCCATTTGTACTCCCAGGAAAACGTGTTTAGGGAAAGTATTTAGGGAATCTAGGAATGTATTTTGGGAATGTATTTCCCAGAGGGAAAATGAGCAAAGGTTATAGCAAGAAGACAGTTCAGGGAAGAGGAAACATAAATGAATGAAGCAACTAACTGAAGGGGATCACAAATGGTCAGTTAAGCTGAAAAGATGTTCAGCCTCCCTTATAAGGGAAAATGCAAGTTAAAATAATGAAATGCCATTTTTCCCATCAAAGTGGCAAAAATTGAAACAAATGAATAATATAGTCTCTGTTGACAAGGGTTCGAGCTGGGAAACATATTTATGTGTTCTTTTTTTTTTTTTTTTTTTAAAGATGACCGGTAAGGGGATCTTAACCCTTGACTTGGTGTTGTCAGCACCATGCTCAGCCAGTGAGCGAACCGGCCATCCCTATATGGGATCCGAACCCGCGGCCCTGGTGCTATCAGCACCGCACTCTCCCGAGTGAGCCACAGGCCGGCCCAAATATTTATGTGTTCTTGATGTGAATAAACTGGAATAGCCTTTGAGGAGGGCAGTTTGACATCATTTGTTAACGTTAAGAGTTCACACACACCATTTGTCCATTTCACTTAAAAGTGTTTATCCTAGAAAAATTTTCAGACATATGCATAGAGTCATACAGGGATATTCACTGCAGCATTGTTTGTAATGGGGAAACTTTAAAATAATTTAACTGTCAGGGGCTGGCCAGTTAGCTTAGTTGGTTAGAGCACAGCCTTATAACACTAAGGTCATGGGTTCAGATCCCCATAAGGACCAGCCACCAAAAAATAAAGAAATAATAATAATAATTAAACTGTCAGGGTAAGAGTTAAATGAACTGTGGTACATTTGCATTACAAAATAACATGCAGTAATTAAAAAGAATCAAGGTAGCTCCAAAGGTATTGACATGGTAAGTTCTTGAAGACGTTATATTATGGAGTAAAATAAGTACATTACAGAGTAATTCGTAGAGTATGATATTTTTTATGGGTAGATGTACATATATGTAGGTAGATACAAGGAACAAGTTCTGAAAGGATATATGCCAAGATTAAAAACAGTTGGGGTGGGGAAGAGAGCGGCACTGGTAGAATTTCATGTTTGAATTATTTCAATGAGAATGTATTTATGTATTCCCTATATATTGAGAATATATACAGAATGATAAGTAAATGAAAAGTCAAATTACTCCTTGTGTCCATATCAGACAAGTGAACCTCCTATTTCATTTTCTCAGGGATTTTTGCCAAACCTGACCATGTTAAAATGACATATCCAAAGACTCAGCTTCACCATTCACTGCCCTTATTGTTGATTTGTGACAATCTCCGTGACCCTGGGAACCTGGGGACAATTCTGAGATCTGCTGCCGGGGCAGGCTGCAGCAAAGTATTACTGACCAAAGGTAAGAACACCTGTACTAGGTGGATTGGTTGGCCATTTTTAAGTGAGCTAGGGCTTTGGGCATATGTGGGTTCAAATCTTGGATCTGCCCCTTCCTAGCTGTATGTTCATGAGCAAGTGTCAGTGTCCTCATCTATAAAGTGAGAATAATAACAATTTACCTCTTAGGGTTATTTTGAGGATTATATGAGACGATACACATAAAGTACTTCACATTGTGCCTGTCACACAATAAGTAATTCAATAATTGTTTATTATCTTTTAAAATTATTTTGAAACCTGCTAGGTTATTAGAGAAAGAATTTTAAATCAATCAGGGAAGAAAAGTAGATGCCAATTTTAACACACGGTTTCAGGTCTTTTATTCAATGACCTTGAGTTCTCCAATTGTTGGGTAATGGGATCTTCCTAATTCTTGAATTCTGGATCCTATGGAAGGAATAATGTTGATAGAGTGTGATTATGCAGTCGTGTTACATTTCCTTTAGCCTCAGGATTGGTCACATACTCTACCCACAAATTAGCCGCATTACATCTCTGTCTCTTCTCATCAGAAATGGAGATTAATAGACTGGGTTCTAAACAGACCTGCCTAAGAGTTGGGACACCTAAAATGCCTATTACACGTCGGTGGAGGGAAAGGAGAGTGTCATTCATCAGGAACACCCAAGCTACCATTAATGTAAACTAATAGTGGCACCCATTGCTGAGACTTGTCTGATTTCTGCGTTCACCTCCTCCAGTCACACCTTGTTTGGAGTACATTTCTCTGCTGGCGTGAGAGCTAGGGGCTGGGCTTCCCTTATCAGTACCCTGCTTACTCACCTCATTGTTGAGTGCTCCAGTAGGAGGTGTGGTTTTGGAAATGTATCAATAATTCAAGCTGTGTGGTTTTCATATTGATACTGGGGCTGGCAGATAAGAGGTAGGGAAAGAGTAAGGTATACTTGGCGTGATGCCCAATGTCAAGGACATGAAGATGAGGGGAGAAGCCTCACCTTTTCTCTTACTCCTCACCAGGTAGAGGGGTCAGACTAAACAGTTCCTCTCACAAATCTGGATCCATGTTCTGGTCCTTTCCCTCACCTCTTGGCATATAGCCCAGATCCCATCTCTGGTTGTCTGCAGTGAGTGGGGAAGCCCATGGTTGGGGACATGTGTGGGTAGTGTTACATTCTCTGTGTGTTAGTCTCATTCTCCTTTTTAAAATCTGGTTTGCCTAATTAATCTATCCTGAAGTTCGATAAGTAAACTTTTAAAATAACTTCTTATGAGGAGACTTGTGCTAACAAGTTAGGGAGAAGGGTAGCTATGTGAAGCAGTCATGGTGAGCGCCCTGGTCATGTCATCTCTTCCAGCCTGCCTGTGGTGAGTAGTAGACACTGGAGAAGCCAATTGCCTGCCATTCAGCCAGAGCATAGGAATGGTTGGGCTTAGCATGTGACCACTGCAGTGTGAGAGAAGGGGTTTGTGTGTGAGTGATGAGGCTATTGCCTGGGTTCAGGCTCTTGTTTCTCCCTGGATTGCTGCAATTGCCTTCTACCTAATTCCCACATCTCTAGTGTCTTCCCTGCTACAATCCAGATTAAACGTTGGAGCCAAATGGGACTCTAAAACATAAATCAGATTCTGTCACTGCTTTGCTTAAAATCCTTCAATGACATTATATTGCCTTCTGATAAAATTGAAAACTCCTCAGCTTAGCATACCCAGCCTCTGTGAAACTGGCTCTTACCTGCCTGCTATCTCCCCCCACCACACCTCCACCCATGAATTAGCCTGCTCACCTTACTTGCAGTTCTTAGACCGTGGCACTCTCCCCCTTCTCTAACTTTTCTTCTGCCTGGGCCTTTCTCTGATGAGATTCTCTTATCCTTCAAGAGCCAACTCAGTGTCATCTATTAGATGTTTTTCCTGATAGCCCTGCTGTGTACAAGGGTTTTCTATTACCCTTTCATGGTTCTTTTACATCAGCTATCACCTGTTTAAATATCATCCCTATGCCACCACCCACCATACTATGAGTTCCTTGAGGCTGGGGACTTTTCATTCCCTCTGCATCTCCTGTACAATGTCTGGCACAGGTGTATGGAAAATGTTGGAGGGATGAATCGTATCTGTTTTAGCACTAGCAGGAATTAATCCTACAGTCCCTTTGCTGGACACTGCCATAACTGGGGAGGCAGAAGCTCCCAGCTATCAAGAAGGCTATAATAGAACTTCTTTATCTCCTGATATAGTGTTAATCTGATTTACTCTAAAGTTGATTTACTCTAAAGTTCCCTGGTCTGGGAAGGTTTGTGAAATTTTTTCTCCTATCTTTTATTTTCTAGGCTGTGTGGATGCCTGGGAGCCCAAGGTGCTACGGGCAGGTATGGGTGCACATTTCCAGGTGCCCATTATCAACAATCTGGAATGGGAGGCAGTGCCCAATTACCTGCCCCCTGACACCCGAGTACACGTGGCTGACAACTGTGGCCTTTATGCTCAGGCCCAGATGTCTAATAAAGCCAGTGACCATGGCCGGGTATGTGATCGACGATTCCTAAAGATTCACAAGTATGATGATGAGGTGGTGGAGGAGGACCTAGAAACTGGAGCCAGTAAAGACTGGCTCCCTGACGTTGAGGTCCAGAGTTATGACTTGGACTGGACAGAGGAGCCAGCAGCTGTGGTGATAGGTGGGGAGACCCACGGTGTGAGCCTGGAATCCCTGCAGTTGGCCGAGAGCACTGGGGGTAAGAGGCTGCTGATCCCTGTCGTGCCTGGTGTGGACAGCCTAAACTCAGCCATGGCTGCAAGCATCTTGCTTTTCGAAGGGAAAAGACAACTGCGGGTGAGGGCGGAACACTTGAGCAGGGACAGGAGTTACCACTGAGAGGGGACATGGAAATTAGTTCTCAGTTTGAGGATGTCTCCAGGACCTCCTACCCCTGACACACTGTTAGGAGGCTGGCAGAGTCAGACTGTGGCTTCCCAGGCCATATTCAAGGGGCAAGAGGTGGGCATGATGCCATCCAATATGGATATTAGAAAAATAATTTCCATGAACTTCCTAAGATTTCCTCTCTCTCCACTGATTCTGAGGTTAGATTTTTTTTTCCCCTGGTGACAAATAGGCTCTATATGTATGTTTTTAAAAATTGTCTTGCTGAGGAGCATTTTGTGCCCAGAAAGTTCCTGCAGGCATCATCTTGGGCAGGGAAGAATTCCCTTCACCAGCTGGTGGTTTGGCAGTCACTGAACACTGTTTATAGGTCATGGCTAAATCACTCATGTCTGATCATTGGTCAATGGAAAATAAACTCCTATGAAGTATAAAACCAGCAGATTACAGTAAAGAGTTTTTAGGTAGGTCATTGGGTCTCAATGCCTGTTTTTTCATCTTTGGCTTAGTCACAAGGACACTGATAGGAGATTGATAACTCAGGAAGCTCAGGGTACAGGTCATGGCAGTCGGTGGCTAGCTGTTCTTTAGGCATGGATATATCAATCTGGGATTGTTTGTTCAGGCCTTAACTTAAATAGCCACTGTTTAGGCAGAACAATATTTTTCCCCCTTTCTGGTCATTGGTAGAAACAGCTTAATTCGTCAGCATCTTAGCATCTCTGCAGATATCTTTTTAAGTTTATGCAAAAAAGAAGGAAGAAAAGTTACAAACTTTTTTATAACCGAGTTATGAAATCTTCAGCTTAATGCAACATCTGTCAGGAAAGCTTCACCCTTTTTATTAGCTCCTGCTGTCAGTCCTGCTTTATGTAACACTTTTGGTTCAATGTAACGATGTACATATTTACATTTAACGTCCCCCTACTTCCCCAGCATACAGGAACAGAACTGTTTAGGAAAATGCCAGCATTCCTGGATGTTATGTGAACAGAGGGCTTCTGTGAGGGGAGGGCGCTGAGGATGAGAGCTTGGGGCTCTTGGGCCCACAACACTGCAGCAAGACCCTGCTGTTCTTCTCTCAAACTCCCAGCGGACCAGGGCAAGCTGGATCCTTACCAGGTGCCAGCCAGGGCACAGGCAGGAATATGAGGGCAAATGCAGATGGTAATAATTGTATTTGTAAGTAACTGTGGGAAGGGGGTGGGTGGGCTGGAGATGGGACTCATTTCAAGCACTGCTTTTGCAACCATGAAGGATAGGGTTGAAGTTGAGGAAGACACCAGTGGTGTGGTTTTACCACACATCTCTTTGTACAGTGGTTCCTGTAATGGTCTGGATTCCTCGGGAGCCCTTCAGCTGCTCACTCCAGGGAGATCAAGTTAGTTGCTAGTATGCCCAAGAGAAACCATGGACAACCCTCCCTCATTCCTCCCCCTTTGCTCCCCCAGCTCCCCAGGAAAACTTCCTCTCAGGAGAACCAAATAGTCAAGCATGATTCATATCCCAAGTGGCAGGGTGGGATTGCTTTGGCATGTTTGAGGGGAGGGGTGTTTGCAGGAACAGTGCTCTTTGGTTGGCTGTGTCAGCAGCAGTCAGCCTGACCTGCTACTCTGGTTGTCCCCTCTGCTCTGGGCCTGCCCAGGGCCCCACACGTTTGATGCACATGGCCCACAGACTGTTGTTGAGACCCTTGATCCCCAGTCTTCTTCTTTTAGAAAGTAGAAGAGCCCAAAGCCTTTGCCCACAAAGGCTGGAGCATATCGGCAGACTTCATAAGAATTAAAGATGACTGTAATGCCTGTTGCTGGAGAATTCGTACCACCTGAGTCTGCTGACATTTGGTCTCCTTCAACACGTTGGAATAGTGCTAAAGAAACAAGTCACTAAAAGGAAGCTCATGTCTTTCTGAAACCAGTCTCCTGTAATTTGTGTTCTGGGGTTATGTTCCCGCTGAATTGTGTTACAAAATAAAAATCAATGAAAGCACAAACCATATACCTTATCCTTGTTTAGAAAAGCAATGCAGAACACTGGCAAATAATTCCAAAGCCATTTTATCATCTTGGGTGTAGGAGGGAAAATAATCTTACATCTCATTCACTTTATAGTCAGTAGTTTATATACAATGCCTTGTGAGCTCTCTTTGTATATTCATGGGTATAATTTAGCCCCTTGAGGGGAGGGGTGAGGAGCAGAGGGAGACACATTGTCTTTTTAAGATGACTACAGGGGAGCAAGTAGTGGTGAATTTTTTTGCTGAGTGATAGTAGAAAATCACTATCTTGAATTCTTCTCAAGTTTGAGGCCAATTTGTTCTGTCACGATTTCCCCAGTAAACAGGAAAAAAAAAAAAGAAACAACTGAGCAATATATTACAAGAAAAACACATTTCTTGGCTGAAAGAAAAACATTGTCAGGATATTGGCCAGCCTCCCCCGTGCCTTTGTGTTGAGGCATAACTGTAGTAGTGATCTCAGCCACAAGGTGGCGGGCCACGCCTCAAAAACCACTCCCAATGCTAAAGGGAGGGGTTGGGCTCTTTCCTGGATTTAAGTTGTGGAAAAGCGGGAAGAGGGAAGGATGGAGTCAAGTCTCCCTCCACCAGACAGCATTTTGCAAGCCATTTGTGGTCAGAGGTGTTAAAGTTGGAGACGCATCCAGCTTGTCCCACATAATCTCAGCAGAAGAGAGAATCTGAAGTACAGAAGGATGGTGGAACAAAAACTAAGGAGGAAGTGGACAGAAATGGGACATGACCTTAGCAGGAAAAGCTAGCACTTTTCCCTTTTAAGAGAGCCTCTGGGAGAGCAGCTCTGGGCAAATGCCAGTGTCCTAATATGCCTGGAACTCACTCTGGGAGGCCACTGCATGTCCTTCAGTCTGCTGCAGGGCCGGGAGAACTGAAACCATTCTTCCCAGCCACAGAATCCTGGCCATTAAGGCTCAGAAGATAAACAGAACTTTACGGAATGGGAATGGTGAGTTCACCTGGGACCTTCTACTACTTGCCCCAGGGTTAACAGCAACACCAGCTGTCACCACCATCCAAGCTGGACTGCATTTAGCTCCACTTTTGCCATTCTGCCACACACAAAGACCCCAGAAACAGCACTCCATCCAAGGTTCTGTGACTAATGCTGAAATCAGCTGTGCTGCAGGGCCTGGGGCTTGCTCCTCTTTTGGACAAGCCACTTCTCCCCTCAGGGGGAACTTGGGGGACCTGACTTGGGCTCACATTTTGGGGGAAGGGGTGGCTGGCCAGTAGGGAGATCTTAACTCTTGACCTTGGTGTTACAAGGCTGTGCTTTAACCAACAGAGCTAACCTGCCAGCTCATCACTATTATATTTTTTTTAAGAAAACACTTAGGGCTGGCCAGTTAACTCAGTTGGTTAGGGCATGGTGTTGATAATGCAAGGTCAAGGGTTTGGATCCCCATACTGGCCAGCTGTTGCCCCTGCCGAAAGAAAAAAACCACTCATTTTGGCACTTTTTCATCTTGAATTGTCCTCTTATGCCTTTAAGAGCCAGCCCTATTCTTAGGACGGCCCTCCTAAACTGAAAAATTGTCCTGCCAGACTTTCCTGTCATGTTGCCACCTTTTTTTTTTTTTTTTTTTAGCGCACAGTGCCCAGTATTCCTAGGCGACCTCCCATCCAAATACTAACCAGGACCGACCCTGCTTAGCTTTTGAGATCAGATGAGATCAGGTGCTCATTACCACTATTTTCTCCTTTTTTGTGGCTGGCCAGTACAGGGTTCCTTGGTGTTATCAGCAACACACTCTCACAGGTGAGCTAACTGGCCACCCCTATTGCCACTCTCAAACTCCAAGACTTTACTTCCTCTATTTTCACCATTGAATGTGCAAATGTAATAAGCTAGAAGCCCCATAATGGATGACCATTTATTGCTCTGAACAATGGAATCATGTTAAATTTGAGCTGCTAAAATAACAGCTAGCAGCCAAGTCTTCAGGAATCCTCAGGAAACATTGCTGATGCTCAACAGCCAGGTATGACTGAAAATCTGAATATGCTGTGGGTGAGATCAGTTCTGTTCTTACTACACTCCCAATATCAGGATTTCCAATTGCTTTTGTAGGAAAAAGCTATTTTTTCAGATGAAGCCTCAGAATTGGGATGAGCCATTCATTACCAAAGCTGCTGCTTCCTCATAATGCAAGAGATTAACAAAGGTTGGGGAGGAGGAGCAGATGGCTTCAGCAAGTTCTGGCCTCTCAGACTCTCTTGGCACCTCTGAGATGGGAAGGGGGGACAATACTGACTGCAAGGCTGCAGAGTGTCTCTTGAGTGGTTGGGGACTACCATGTCCTCTGATGTCCAAAGGAAATTGACTTTTTTGGCCCTGGAGCCTAAGATCGTGTTTCCTACTACATCCTAGTTCTAGCATGTGTGGGTGACTTGTGTAAGGCATGAGCATACAGGAATCCAGACCTGAGGCTATCTCTGCCTACTTTGGGCTTGCACCATTGGCCTACAGGCCTGGGGACAGAGGCTTTCATGAGTCGGCACATTATTTAATGGAAATCCAACAGTCCCTCTGAACAAGTTTCACCCAAACCTACTAACACATTTCTTGGCTTGGGAAATATTCCAAAACTCCAAGAGGGTAAGACACGTTTATGCCTTGAAAAATGATAGTAAACATACTTACCTTTGTGCTTTCACATATAATAGGCGTACCTAGAACACCCTTGTCATGTATTTCAGTAGAACGAGAAATCCCAGCCATAAAGCAGGATATAAAATTTTCCTACGTACAGCCTTTTGTTTCCTGGAAATTATTAAATCCTTCATATATGGCCACAGACCATAAGCACTAATGATGAGGCTAATAGACAACAGCTGTTTGTCCCCAAAGAAATTTCCCTTAAGCAGCCAGGTGTGCTTTGTCCCGGTTGGTATGGCGGTTGGTATGGCAGTGAGGGGTGTAGGTAAAGTGCTCACTTTAAAACAACCCTTCGGGGCAAACTTGAAAGATCCTCTTGAGCTCAGGACCCCCAAGGCAGTCCCCAGAGAGAAGCTGTAGGGGGCACTCGTGAACCTCTGCAGTCCCCTGCGTGTGGCTGCTACAGGGTCCATACTACTGTGGCATTCTGGTCCTAACAGGCAAGGGTGGGCCTGCCCAGGCTGGCGGGGGAAGTGGCGGTGTGAATGCAGAGAGTAACCCTCCTGCATGACTGGAGGGGGTGGCGCCAGACATGAGCTCAGGTCCCCCCCAGGGCTGCGATTCCAGTTGTGCAGGATTTCTACATGTGCAGCCTCGCACACATCCATGGTTTTCTCCCTCAGCGAAATGGAGCAACACCATATTAGGTCCCTCCGATCTGTTCTTGGGCCTTCCCCTGCTAGGTCTATACCATTGCTGAGTTGAATTTGCTGCCCTAGAACGAGGCAGCAGGAGGGGAGAACAGCTTTTTAGTGTCTTTAATTAGGCAACAGGAAAAAACAGTCTGGCTGAAAATTAACACTTGAAGCTTGGCTGGTGCCAAAAAAGCAGCACTGGCTCCCTGTGCTGGGATAAATGACAGCCATTGATTTCAAGGACACACCTGGGGGGGAAAGCAATAGCAGGAAGCTACCTCACTCCTGGAAAAGAAGGTAGTGTTCACCTGTCCACTGTATATACCAATCCCAAGCACATACCTTTTTCCTAAACAGATCCTTAATGCTGGGAGACAAGGATAACAAATCTCATCTCTGTTGTAATAATGGGATCTGGAAATCATTGTGAACACAAATCTGGGAGCCCCAGGGTGGCATTTTTACAGCCACCTTCCTGCCTCAACCTGCAGGGCATGGTTTCCCTTGCGACTGGCGGAAGCCCTTGAATATGCCACAGCCAGTTTTTAACCTGCTTCCAATTAGCAACAAGAATTCTAAGGTATTTTGGAGCTGCTTGGTGGGAATTATCATGCCACCCACTTCGTCTGCATCAACAACCTTTAAGATCTCTTGCACTATTTTTTTTTTCCTTTTTGTCTTTTTTACTGACCGGTAACGGGATCGCAACCCTCGATGTCGCGCCTGTACCGGGGACCGGCAACGGGATCGCAACCCTCGGTGTTGTGCCCACACCGCGCTCAGCCAGTGAGCGGGAACCGGTCTCCACATGGGATCCGAACCCTCGGTGGGAGGTGGGAATTATCATGCCACCCACTTCGTCTGCATCAACAACCTTTAAGATCTCTTGCACTATTTTTTTTTTCCTTTTTGTCTTTTTTACTGACCGGTAACGGGATCGCAACCCTCGATGTCGCGCCTGTACCGGGGACCGGCAACGGGATCGCAACCCTCGGTGTTGTGCCCACACCGCGCTCAGCCAGTGAGCGGGAACCGGTCTCCACATGGGATCCGAACCCTCAGCGGGAGCACCACCGCACTCCCAAGCCGCGCACTCTCCAATGCGCCACCGGGCCGGCCCCTCTTGCACCATTGAGAAAGGGATTTCTTGCTGGCACTTGTGAAGTGATTCTTCCCTAATGTTTCCCCCCAAAGTAGCCACTACTTCAGACTAAACCTTTTTAGTAAGCCTTCCTCACTGATCTTAACTAACCTACATATTCATTCTAAATTGGGAATTCTGGTGTCAAGGATCCAGTTGACATTTAGTGGCTAGTAATTCAGAAGAGTCAGTACGGGCCACCAAAGTGTCACAGATAACCTAGTTTTTCTGTTGCAACAACTTAACGACAACTCCTCGCTGGACTTTGTTCCTTCTGTCCCCAAAGATAAGTAGCTGCTAAGAGAGACCACCTTTCCTCCAAGGCAATCATGACAGACATGGACAGGTATCCTGCCCATCTTCCAAGGGAGGTTGACCTCATCTTGTATCCTCACCCCCAGAGGGAGATACTGGCACAGTTCCTAGAGAAGCCCCTAGCCCAGGGATAGAGCTAGGTTTGAGGTCCCTAACTCTTGCCCCATTCTTCACAGAGAGACCCATGTGTGATTCCTTGTTTCCCCAACCAGCATTCTCAGGTTTCAGAGTACTTGGCTCCCCTGTAGGAAGGGAATGAGCAAGAATGTCCACACCAATGTATGTAATCTGGAGATTGACCCTCCATCAAGGGCCAAGTCAAACCAGGAGAAATGGTGGCCAGAGCTCCGGAAGGGATCTGCCCCTGGCACTCTAATCCAAAGGAGATTCCTGGCTTCTGGAAACCAAGATTTGACAGATAACCCTGTGAGGTCAAGGTTCTTGAAAATGCTGGTAGATGGCTACCAAGTATCCAATAAAAGTCAAGGGGTTCTCTATGTCTTACCCTCCACTGCCTACCCCCTGGTAGAGCCCAGCACCACAAACAAAAAAGATTTTTGTTATTAAGGACAGGAAAGACCAAGTGGTTGGTAAACGTCCAGAGATGCCTGCTTTATTTCTTACTAGGTGATTGCATTTCAAGCTGACAACATCAAATAACAGTCTAATTACCAACTAATTTTGTACCTCTGAACTACAAATCAACAATCCAATTCAGTAAAGAACAACAGTGTCAACAGCTTACTGCGGAGGCTGGATTTTCCAAATAAATGATTTTCGTTGGCAGAGTGCTGAGTGGAGCCAAGGGTAAGGCCTGGGATTGTTTAAAGACCCTGACACCTAACTGAGATAGGCAAATCCCTAGCCAAAGCCCTCTAACCCAAATCCTAAGAACACAGTTGTTGTTTCCCTTTTTGTGGTCAGTTCAGCCCAAATAAGAGGCCAAGCTACGTGGGCATCCAAGGCCTACTGGAAGCTGACCCGCTCCTCCGTCCTCGCTCTTGCCCTAGGGCACAGCTCCTTCTGCAGGTTCTTAGGAAAAAGCTAGGCTTCTGGGAGTTTCTGGTCTCTTTTTAGTTCTGCTCTGGAAAGAGAAGGCAATGACAGGGGTAACCAAAGGTAGGTGCAGGCACCTTGGCAGAGGTCCAGTGGCCTCAGACACAGAGCTGGGCTGAGACAGTGGTCTGTGCTAGGCTGTGCTCCTCTAAGAACTCAGGGCCAAGTTTCTTGGGAAGATGTCCAAGGGGGAAGAATTCCTTAACAAAAATCCAAGAGAGTAGGAGCTGTTTGTATGAGCAGGGAGAAACTTGGGGAAGGTCAAGATTAAAGAATAAAGAGATATAAGGAAGGAATGAGAAGCTCTTATCACTAGATAGGAGCTCAATAAAAGTAAGCAATTACTATATAAATCATTACTTAAGCTACTTATTTTTCTCACCCAAAAAACCCCACAAACGTCCTTTTAGACTTGGAGATCTCCTGCCCAAGAACCCACTGACAGCCTGCTGTTTTTCCCCCAGACCAAGAAAGACTTAAGTCATTTAGAAAAGGATGTCCTCACCAACAGTTCTGAGCTGATGCCTAAGGAGGCCTGCGGCCCTTTCTCTGCTCCACCTGCAGGTACGTGTGTCACCGAGCAGTTCTCCTGTGGCTGTCTTGGGCTCTGTGTGTGCTGACACCAGAGTCACAGCCAGAGCCCCAATCCACTGTTCCTTCATGCTTACTCTGCAGAAAAACCCTCTGGCAGATCCTTCACCAAGAGCTAGGGACTCTGAGAGAGCGACGCAGTCCCAGTTCTGGCTGGATTATGCTATCCCCGTGAATCCCAAGCAGTCTTCACAGATGGTGGGTTCTTCTGTTGCTGAGACGATACGCACCCTAGGGTGCTGGCTGAGGAGTTAATGTAGAAACAAGGCACCACAGAGAGGTTGGACACTTGGGTTGTGTGATCCAGGACACGCTGGAAAAGTCCAAGGACAGAGGGAAGGAAGGGGAGGAGGAGTAGAAGACAGTTTTAAATAACGTCTCATGAGGCCAGAGCCCCACTAGATGGGCTCCGGTTTGAGCTTTTCTGCTAGGAAGTCATTCACAAAGGCCTCCACAATGGCAGGGGTGATCTCCTCCACATCCATCACGTACTTGGCCCGGGCTGACATGTCCAGAATGGTGAGCAAAGGGGCAGCCTCGGGCAGGTTGGTGTAATCTCGCAAGGAGTCAGTCATGTCATCCTGAAGTCGCCAGAAGGAAGAGAAAACCAGTAAGTGTTAAAGAGGCAGAGAGTCCCCTGGGCCCAGTCTCCCCAGATGGCATGGAAGAGAGGCCAGTCCATCATTCTGAAGAGCAGGCTCCCCTCAGGGAGAGCTGGCTCTTAGAGAAGGGAGCAGGGGACTGTGCCCTGCCTTGGGGAGGGGAAGCCTGCTTTGTAAAATTCTCTCAATTCCTCCAAACCACCAGGCCAGTCATCTCTTTCTTAGCATGAAAGGAACTTTAATATTTCCTCTGCTTTTTAAAAATGCGATGTCTTTTGCTTATTTTTGCAATCAACTCTCAATTACTTGCAGCCCCACTGTGTATTATCTGAGGCCAATCTGGACTTCAACCCTGGAATGTTTTTAAAAAGAAACAGCTAGCTCACTGCTCCCCACCTCCCAACCCCTGCGGTTTCAGGGAGGACTGGAGTGGCACGGCCGGCTGGTTCAGAAGACAGGGCCACTTAAGCACCGTGGAAGTTTACGCTGGTTTGTGTATTTATTTGAGAAGGAAGCTGGCACTTTATTATACATTTCCAGCAGCTGTGAATTTTCCTAATATCAGATATAGCCTTATTCAAATATAGATGCAAACACAGAAATCCAAAGACAAGGAGAAAGGGTTGTAAGGGAGCAACCATTTGAGATTACCTTTCACACCGTTGACTCCCGTTTGGTAGACAACAGATAATGGACTCTACATACCCATCCTGAGGTTGTTTCACTGTAAAATGCACAATATTATAAACTGAATGAAAAAAAACCCTGAGTTGCCCTGCAGAGAAAGGGCCTGGGGTATTCCTGGCCTTAAATAGTGGTGAGCAGGAGGCATGAAATTTACAGCTCATTGGTTTCTGAGTCAAAATATTCCTTTCTCCAAAGGCAAAACTTTAGGAAGTTAGTGTTGGTCCCCTCCCCTCCCAATAGCATGTACTTCCCAGCTGTGCTGGGTGATTTAACATCTTTGGCACTCTTCACACTATTCAGGTGCTCATATGGGTTAATAAAAAATCTTCATGATAAACAGAGGGGAGACACCTGGACAAATACCGTGCATCTAATTCCCATTAGGAGGTCCAGACAAGCCAAGTGCTCCACTGCCTCCATTCCCAGCTCCCTCTGAGCAAACGACAGGGGATGAATTTTAATGTCTATTACAGCTTCAAAAAGGATAACTTCCACCTACCACAGAGGACAGGATCAAGACAGAAAAAAGGGGTCCCCCTTTGCCTTGGGCCCGAGTACTGGGCTCAATGCCTGATGTTCCAGCATCCTGTGCTCACCTCCCTTCCATGTTCTGAGCATAAGGACAGAGAACTGGACCAAGAAAGCCACCAGGGCCAGGAGCCCAGGTGGGAGTACAGTAAAAACAGGCAGCTAGGTGTGGAACAGAAGCCGTGAATGACACAGGCCCCTCTGTCCAGCTTTCTGGTCCAGGGAGTCTTCCTCCTGCCCCACCTGTCCTTGGCCCTCTAGGCCTAAGCGAGTCCATATGGCAGACCACATGGACAGAAGGACGAAGAGCACTGCTTCTGGAGTCACTCTGCCCTCACTGTGGTCCCCTCTCCCAGCGAAGGTCTCATCCCCTGTAAAGTGGACTAAACAATGGCTGCCAACACATGGGGCTGACATGAGGGATGTGTGAGCCTCTAGCATGCACAGCCCTCCCTGAGCCTCGCTGTCCTCTGTGAAACAGGACAGTGACTTTGTTCCCAGCCAGAGAGGTGAGGAGCAAAGGAGAATGGCAGGTGAGGCACCCGGCTCGATGCCTGGTGCGAAGAAACCTGTAAATGGTCCTTCTCAGCCGCAGGTGGAAAGCCCCTGCCCAGCGTGCTCAGCCCTTGCCACCATGCACTAGTCTTTTCTCGCAGAGCCATTCTTCAGAGTTAGAGGTCAGGACACTCAGAGTGCCCTCCCCCGCGCTTTGTGCGCGGGCCCGAGGCATGGCCTGGGAACCCTCTTTGTTCCTCTCCACCCCGGCAGGCAGGGCTCCTGGAGCTACCTGCCAGGGGCCCAGCAGAGTGGAGCCAGGGCGGCTATTGAGGAGGTGATGAACGGGTGGCTCAGGGTATCTGATGCCCCTCCACCTGTCTTCTCCATACCCCTCCTGGGATCCAGATACAATGTGAAATGAGCACGGGGCTCTGACCGACTAGAGGTATAGAGGGTGCACCGAGGGCAGGAGCGGCTTCCAAAAGGGTCTGTGGATAACAGGCTTATGCTGGGGCCTGGCTGGGGTGGGGAGGCAGCAGAGCATGCACAGAGGAGGGATCGGGGTGGGGCATGGGGGAGCATCTGCACCGGCGCTGCCATCCTGCACAGACACCCATGTGTGCAGGACGCAGGGTCCCACACCTCAGAGCAGCCAGGCACCTGCTGGAGGGGGCACCACTGAAGGGCCCCACCTTCTCACCCTGCGAAGAGTCCCCTGCTTGGGCTAGCCCATCTGGAGCCATTCAGGGGACAGCCTGAGGTAAAAGAGATGGGGAATGGCAGCAATTTCCAACCTTGGCACTGTCCCTGGCTGGCTGGGATAAAATGGGATCAGCCCACTTTGCAGGCTGGCGCAGAGGGAATAACCAAGCCCACAATTGGCCAAGCATCGGGGGCCTGGTTCTGACCCAGCACCAAGGGAGGAAGTGTGGATCCCATGTTTTGGCTGCTGCTCTCCACAGCGGCTTGGGTGGGAAACAGCCCTGGGAGGGCTTCCTCCTGTCCTGAGGCTGCTGAGTGAGCAAGGGAAGAGGAAGCAGCAGGGGTGCGAAACAGTTTTCCATGTGACAAGCCTTTTCTTGCCACATTTATCTGTAGGCTCTCCCAAAAGCACGGTCAACCCAGACGCCCGGGACCCCTTCATACATCCCCAAGGCCAGTATCATTCATGTCCTAAGAGTCTCCAGCTGAGCCAGCCTGAGGGGGAGGGGCAAGCCCTCCCTCCCTACTCACCTCCCCAGCCACAAAGAATAGAAGCGGTGCCTCCTCCTCTTTGGCTTTGTACTTGGCAATGATTTTCTCAGCAATTGGCTGAATCAGCTGCTTGGCTGCCTCGGACTCTCCATCATCCTCAGAGTCTGCGATGGGGGAAGAGAGAAAAAGACAAGAAGAAACACTGGCATGTCAGACAGGGAGGGGCACCACTGAGCGGGTCTGAGCTGCAGAAACGCCCATCCGAGCAGTCCCTGAATGGAAAAAAGAACTTCCCCTCGGACATAGGCCCCACTTCCTACACTGTGCACAAGATTGTCGGCACAGTGTGCACACACGTCACGAGCAGCAAAGCACGCTCGCGCTGCTCTCCCGCACCAGGCTCACCAGGAACAAACCCATCCCAGAAGCCAAGCTTCCCCAAGCCAGGACCTCAGGTCCCTGGTCGTTTTTCTTTCAATCACAGAATGAGAGTCCATGACCCCAGACCTCAGACCTCTGACTTCCTAGTGAAAATGGCAGAAGAAGTGGCGTGAGAGGGTGAGGACTATGATCGGTCAGGGGCTTTGATGGTGATGGGTGTATCACTCCCAGGCTCACCTGGGAGGGAGTATGCGGGCTGCACGGGGAACACACAACCAGGCTCCCCAACCCCCCTTTAGGCATCTCTCTTGCCTTGAGTGAACAGCAGTGTAGGAGCAGCCAGACACCAGGCTCCCAGGGCTCACTCCTGCTGAAACCTGTCACCGAAAGCAAGAGCAACATCCCCAAGTGGCAAAAGCAGGGGAAGGGAGAGCAGCCTTCAGCAGAGGATTTCACTCAGAAATGCCGCCCAAGAGGCCCACAGTGTGCAGAGACTCGACAAGACACACTCTGGATCCACATCTAATTTGCTTTGTGATGCTGCTTCCACATCTGTAGATGGCCGTGAGGTTCCCTAATTGTCCCTCCATTCAGAATAGTTTACTAGCCAGCCCCAGGATGTGGGTTTGTGTGTGCCTGCAGCAGGCAGGAAAACCCCAAGGTGAATGATTCCCCAAGGCTACCTCTCCCCAGAAGCCTTCTACCCCCAAGGGCAGAATCAGCCTGTAAGTCAGTTTGCTTAAGAATTCCCTTGGGTCTGCATACTGGCTCCTTTCCCAGGGCCCCCAAACCAGACGTCCAGAAAATGGGGGTAGGATGCCGCACATACTCCCTAGACACCCAGAAAAGCAGGTATGGCAGCATCTTAGCCATGATCCTATATGATAATTTTGAGTTTGACAAGAACAACAGGTCCCAAGGCAGAGGGCCCGGTGTCCCTTGGCTAGCAGTTGCTCAGTTTGCAAAAGGAACCAGGGTTATCCCACTGGGCTGCAGGGATCCTAGAGTATATGCTCCTGTGTCCTCCTGCCCAGCCTGAGCACAATCACCTACTGAACACCAAACTGCTCAGAGGATCAGCAGAAGCAGCTCAGTGTGAGTCTTGGCCCAAGGGGGCCCAGCCCTCTGCAGCTGCTGTGCGTGCAGCTCCACCTCTTTCCAACAATGGGTCTGTTCATGGGGCTGGGGGGCAGGCGCTGAAGGCATCCTCTGGGCCTGACCTATTCTGCCCAGCTGGCAGCCGGGGAGCAGCTAGGAAGGAAAGCATAGCAGCAACTCCCAGAATATCTCCCACGGGGGGGCGGGGTAGCCATAAATAAATCATTGGGGTCAAAAGCAAGGATGCTGGTAAGAGACAAAGGCCCAGGTTCAGCACTGTTAGTGACAGAAAGAAGCAGGGACAGGCATCTCCCAAGTGAGGACCAGCCCGTCCCATCCCCCCACTGGAGCCCAGCTGAGTTTCATACCTACAAAAAGGACGAGGCAGGGGCCCTCATTGAGCTGCACGGCATTGGAATCGGAGAGCTCTAGCACAGGCTTGGGGTGCCACGGGAACTCCCTGCAGTCCTCGTCGTTGAGCACCTCCACCCGCCCCTGCCGCGTGATCAGCTCCCCCTGAGGGTCCAGCACGATGAGCGTGGGGATGCCTGCAATAGAGAGAGCTCGCTTGGCCACCAGTCTGGGAGAGGCAGGCCCTGCCTGGCAGGAGGGGCTGGTCCCATCCATGGTGAGCAGGATGACAAAGGACATTCTCCCAGCAAAGAATCCCCACCTGGAGTGAAGAGCTACAGAACTCCCTCGGGTCTGCACATAACCTCTCCATGTAAACCTGAGCAAGTCACTTGGCCTGTCTGGGCCTCAGTATCCTCAGCTGCAACATGGTGAGTGTGCTGTAGTTGTACCTTACCCCACTATGTAAAGATCAATGAGGTAATGCACTTAAAGAACTTAGCACAGGGTCGTGGCACTCATTCGATGGTGGCATCTTAAAGAGAACCCAAAGATGCAGGAGATACTCCCCCATGTGTAGGGGGTCTAAAATTGAACTGAGGTGGTATAAAAACACAGACGTAGACACTCCTACACACACCAGCACAAAGCAGTCAGGATGGGAGTGCTCACACAGGCATGGAGGGCCCGCCACAGTGAGCGCAGGGGCCCAGCGCAGGGGAGGAGTCTGGGCGGGGCCGCAGCCGCAGGACTGGAGGAGGAGGACTGCGGCTGCCAGTTGAGCCCAGCAGCTGCCTGGGGAGGCTCTGAGGGGGACAGTCCCAGCGGGAGTGGTACACTGGAGGTCTGGGCTGGGGTAAGAATGCAACACAACGCTTGCCTGCAAACACATGCAGGCCCAGCTATAAAGCCTCAAATGAAAACTCAGAGAAAACCCATCCTAAGGTTACAGTCACATTTGGGTTTTCGACCTCCCTGATCTTTGCGACCCACCCTCACTGCTTCTTCTCCAGCCAGGGCTACCCCAGCAACCACAGCCCACAGAGTCAGCCTTCACCCTGCCCTTTGGGGGCACTTGTCTCTTCACTGGCAGCCAGTCCCCTCCCCCCCATGCTATCCAGACGCCTCTCCTCCCAGAGCTGACCAGAGCTTGAATTTTATATGAAAGCCGGGGCAATTCAATATTTATATATTCCAAAGTATTCGGTTAGTAATTTGCTCTACTGACATTTTACTTCTCCATGGGGGGGACACTGAAGGACCAGAAATATGGCCCTGGTGTTTTTTGTAACCTGCCATGGCAGCCAGCACAGCAGGCATGCAGTGGTGGGCCTGTCTTCAAAAGGAATAAACAAATCCATTATGTTCACACCTATTAGAGGAAGTGGCTGGATGTGTGAGGGAACTGGTCCAGAGAGAAATGGGCTCCCGAGGACGACCATTCCTCCCACATCACACACAAACACACGCAGCCGCTGCTCCTGGAGCCTTTCAGGATGCGCTCAGTGCTAGACAGGACTCCCAAGAAGCTATGTGTCAGAGCACAAGAGACAGGGCACTTCCAGCCTCATCCTAGCACCTGCGTTTTATCCCCCAGAGGCCTGGGGCCCACATCAGGTGTGTCTCCATCCTTGAGGATCACCCCAGGGCCAGCCAGCTGCACAAGAGCGCCTCCGCATCACCAAGTCCTGATCGCAAAATACATTGGCATAGTTCTCTTTTGTTGTTTTGTGTGTGTGTGTGTGTTTTTGGTGGCTAGCCTTACAGGGATGGAAACACGAATCTTGGTGTTATTAGCACCATGCTCTAACCAACTGAGCTAACCAGCCAGCCCTATTGGCATAGTTTTTTAATCAGAGTTGGTGCTTCTGAAATTGGGCAATTATGAATGTTAGGGTAAGCCAGAGCCTGCCCACTGCTATGATTAGACATAGTAGCAGGCCTGTTTGTAGCCTGGCTTGGGATGCAGAGTTGGGCTATGGAGGACAAGCACGAACAGAGGACAGAAAAAGGAAGAGAAGTAAAATCTGAAGGCAAAGCAGCCCATTTCCTGGTTCAGTGCCTCAGTCTCTCTGAGGGAATACTCTAAAGGGCCTTCTTTGTTACATGGTTGCAGTTTCCTTTGAGTCCATGCCTGTGGGGACCAGGACAGTAGACCAAGGGCATGAGCCCCCAGCTAGCTGCTGAGGAGTTCCCAGCTAATCCCACTGAGGAACAGCTCCTCTGGGCCTGGGCCTCCCTACCCCTTCCTCACAGCTCTGCAAAAAAAAAAAAGAAAGGCGAAGTCCCCTCTTGTATTTGGTGCTTTAAGCATTAAAACGCATGTCTAAGAGCCCAAGACAACAAGGCACACAGGGAAAGGGCAGTGTCGGCCATGTGACTGTGCATAAACAGAAACCAACCTGGTAAAATAACCACAGTCAGATGTGGACCCAGAGAAGCTACCATTTTCAGCAAGTGGACAGGGGAAGAGCATCTGCCTCCCCTGTGCCAGGCCACTCCCCATCAGCTGATCTTGGGTCAGTTGGCCCTAGAGTCCTAAGAATGTGCTTTCCACCAATGATGAGTCAGAGGGCACGAAAAAGGCAACTCACCTCCAGGGTGTATCTGCCTTGTGCCAGGCATGGCACAGATGCTACCTCACTGAATGCTCCTAACAGGTGGCGGCGGGAAGTACTGTAGAGTATGCATAAAGCAAGTGTACTTCACAGGGCCTGGTTTTCCAAAGCCTTGCAGTTTCAAATACTGACCTTGTAAAGGACAGGAAAATTTCCCCAGGCCATATTATCTCAGTTATAAGATAAAGAATTGTAACACAGCAAGGTTGCTGGCTCAAAGACAGACAGGCTACTGATTGATGTGTAAAGATACTGAGAAATTGCTGTAAGAAGAGAATGTTTGCTAAAATCAAGCTTTTGTTAGTGGATTGACTCAATTGCATGTTACCAGCTTCTATTGTTAAACTTGTTACACAGTACTTAGCAAAAACCCTACCTATGTTCTCTTCCTGTAACTTCCTGGTCTGGAGAATAAATGCAGGAAGAGAACCCCAATTTGCGGTTAATTTCCCAAATGGAAGGAATGCCTTGCTCTTGAGGGTTCTGGGAGATTAACCCCTTTCTGGGGCTTCTCACTGCTAAGAGATGGGCTTTGAGTAATCTTTGGTGGCTCCGTCACCCAGGGAAAAAGAGGTGACAAATCCATGGGAGGCAAAGCAACAAGTACCATCATCCTCGCCTTAACAGGTGTCAGGTTGCCTCCCATGGTAACCCAGCCAGTCAGTGGTCCCGCTGGAGAGGAGCCCTGGTCTGCCTGTTGTAAAAGCTCCTGCCCTTCTTACCAGGCCACTGACTGTTGGGGGCTCTCCCAGCACCTGGTTCGGGGAGCCTCTTAACCAGGGCAAGGAAAAGCCCCTGTATCTGCAACTTTCTGCACCCCCACCCCCCACTTCTCCTCCTTCCTCAGGCTGTGGTGGAGGAGGCTGAGACTACAGTAGCTTTCCCCCCAAACCCCCCATCATGCATTCCCTGCTGCCCTCTTCCCTGAAGCAGGTTCTGCAAAGTAGAGACTTCTAAAGAGAAAACACGGTGAAGCCTCTAATGGGAGACTTAAAGGGAATGGCAAATTTCTAATCAATGCCTTTATACAAAATAACTTTCACACCAGCAAGGGGCTTCTTGCAGGGAATGAAAAAGTTGCAGCTCATTGTTGCTTTGCTTGAACTTGTCCCTTCCCAGCATGGACGGCAGGGTGGTGCAGTTGAGGAATTCTAGGGAAAGCCAGGCAAGTCACTTAACTTCTTTGAGCTTCATTTCCACAGCTGCCAGTGGGGATAATGATAGTTTCCTACCTTATTTGGTTGTTGTGAGGAATAAACAAGATATGAGTGTAAGTATAAGTTTTTAGCAGAGTACCTGGTATGTAGTGAGTGTTCCATAAGTGTCAGCTATTATTATAAATGGTTTTTTTTTTTTTTTAATCATCTGTAAGTTGGCTATTTGGCTCATGAGAAAGCAGAGGTACAGAAGACTGGTACATTGCTCTTGTGAGATCAACAGAAAGCTCCATGCTGGGCTGGAAGAAGTTAGCTAAAGCAACAGAAAAATAACACAGAGTTCCAGTACTAGTGTCATGTCTGCCAAGTGTGGGGTTGGGGCTGTTTGACTTACTCCATCCCAAGCTTAACTTTAGAGCTTAGAACATATACCCTACGTTCCTAGAGAAGGCTCAACCCCCAGCCCCTGACCTGGGGAGCTGGACTGGACCCCAGCTGTACCTAAGAATCCCTTTCCTCGCTCATTTTTCCTCACTCATCTCCCTCAAGATGTAGAGAAAAAAGAACAATGCCTAAGAAGCCGGCTCCAACTTCTTTCCTCCTGGGGGCAATCTATCTGTGAGTATTTAAAACAATCTTTTTTTTTTTTTCCTTTTTGTCTTTTTTTCATGACTGGCAACGGGATCGCAACCCTCGGTGTCGTGCCCACACCGCACTCAGCCAGTGAGCGGACGGATCTCTATATGGGATCCGAACCCACGGCAGGAGCGCCGCCGCGCTCCCAAGCGCCGCACTCTACTGAGTGCACCACCGGGCCGGCCCTAAAACAATCTTAAGTCTGTGTGTACCGAGACTGTCCGGTGGTTTAGTGTGGTGGCTTTTCTACTTACTGCCAAGGAAATGGGAAGTTTTGAAGGAGGTGGCAGGGTTGGGGGGGGAGTGGCTGGAGCAAAGAAGGTCAAGTCATGCAGGAGGAAGGAGGAGCGGGACAGGGTTGTAACCCAGCTTTCTCTTCACCTGGATGGCAACAAGATCTGAGCAGGCTGGGATAATTTCCCAAAGATTTCTGGGAGTTGAGAGGAGAAATAGGAGGAAAAGCAGATCCCCAGACAGGAAGAGCAGATTAGGGCACATTGGCAGGGCAAACTATTATGCGATCATGAAGAGCGTAGCAACGTGGAAAATGTTTGCAATCCATTGTTAAGTAAAAAATGCAGAGGGCTCAGTGCTATGTGTACATTACAACAATGTATAAGATGTATGCATGTGAACAGACACCAAAAGGGACTCAGCAAAGTGAAAACAGTTGTGCTAGTGAGGCAGGGATGTGGTCGAGACGAGGTGTGTGTGTGTGTGTGTGTGTGTGTGTGTGTGTGTGTGTGTGTGTGTGTGTGTGTGTGGGCTTCTAATGGTATCGTAATA